GCATCGCCATCGGCATCGGCGACGGCGACGACAGACGCAGGTGATGGCAATATGTACAGACACATCTGTGTCTGTACATAAAAAATTAAGTTTATTAATTCTCTTATTTCTATTTTTTTTCTGTACCTGACCTTATTTTAACATTGTCAGTGTGACTTCCATATTTTTAGCACTTGAACTGGAATGTCACCACTCACAATAACACTTACTTGGCATTCTGTCCCTGCATCTTTTCCAGAGCTTTTCCTGAAGGTTTCACCGACCTCTGGGTGACGGGGGCGGCCAACTGTTTCTGTTTCCCCAGGGTCTGAGACACCAACTCTGACCCTGCCTCGTCCATCTCTGAAACCGATGGAACCAAACTGTTATCAGTCATCCTTGACAATTTTGGAAAAATAATTTCTATTTTTTTTTTTTTTTTTTAATGTCATGAATTTTACCACTCTATATCAGTGTGAGTATCTCAAACAAATACAAGAACCAAATTTCAGATCTTGTTACAATGCATTTCTGATAAAGATTTGGGATAATGAAATACCTTCAAGTGGGCGATTACGGGTAAATAGTTGACATTTCTGATAAAGATTTGGGATAATGGAATACCTTCAAGTGGGCGATTACGGGTAAATAGTTGAAATTTCTGGGAAAGAAAAGAAAAGCTTTGCAACATAATAGTCCGACATTCAACACACAAACTTTAATATCTCAACTTACTTGGAGCAGCTTGTCTTGGAGTATCTGTTGTATTGGGACGACTTTGGCCTCGACTTCCACTTCTGGTAGGAGGCCGCACCTGGTCCTTACTGGAAGGGCGCGAGGGAGGACCACCACGGGCTGTTGGCTGGCCTCTACTGGTCTCTTGTTCAAAGTCCTCCGAGTATATTTGACTGGATAAAAAACATTGCCATTTCAAACACCTGACATTTTCCAAAATAATTACATTTGTACTTTTTTTCAAGCTTTTTCACTTTAAGTTACCTTCAATGATGCACTACTTGATTTGAATCAAACATGTTTCTCATCCCATTTAATAAGTCTATTTATTTTTTTTTTTGCAAATATTACTAAAAATACTGGATATTACGGATAAGATTCATCATAATTCCATAGAAAAATTACTGCATGCCCATAGCCAGGGGGAGGGGTTTCAGGCGGTTTCCACTCTGGGTAATATTATATAGGTACGTGAAGGTTGAATGGTAAAAGGTCCACTTTTTCAGAAACAGAACCCCCCTTTTGAAATTCCTGGCTACTGGCCTGAGGGATACAATTTCCTAATTCTGACATTTGTGACTCAATCCAACTCAAGCAGTTGTCATTATACTTATAATGTAACAGTGACAAGCAGTCGCCTTGAAATACACAAACAACTCTACAACATAACTTCGTTCCCCTCTCCTAACTCATAAAAAGTTCACTGAAAGAAAACACTGTCCTCATTTAAACAAAACCTACACATCAATCTCCAGCCTAGCAAGTTATCACACTGATTTCATAACTCTCACCTGGCCTGTGGAGGCAGACTCAACTCATTCCCTATCTTCCTACTGGGCGTAACGGGTCTCTGTAACGGTCCCTCCTCCCGCACTACATCCAGGTGCTTATTCTTCTTGCGTGAGGCGTTCGTCATCACACCCAGGTACTCCGTGGAGAGGAGTTTCTCGCCAGAAAGTTCCCCTGGGTTTGGTTTGAGCACCTCCGCCTTGTCCAGGTCAGCCTCCATGGCGTCTTGGTCCTCCTGGAATACACAACCAAATATATAGGTCAGTTTGTGACCTAATTTTAATTAGGTCAGTTTGTGACCTTATTTTAATTAGGTCAATTTGTGACCTAATATTAATGATATAAAAGTGACCCAATTCTTTTTTTTTTTCTTAATCTGTCCTGGCTTCTCTGAAAATAGATGTTTTTTTCAGTGATAAATAAACTCTTAAAATTAATAGTTTATCATCAAGTTACAATTTATGACAGTCGTCAATTATGTGCTATAATAGCTTTTAATACAGACTTACAAGTTAGGCTTCTTGTTATAAAATTATGAAAACTTCTGCCAGAAGCTGCATTGTGCATACATGCAGTTTTCTTTTGACAATCAAAACAAAACAAAAAAAATTAAATTCTCATTCACTGCTGATTCCTTAATTATAAGTGACAAAATGACACTGTAATCGCACAGGCCCTAACCATGGTATTTTACACTTATCTCTGACTGAACAAGTCAAGCAAACATTAAATATGCCAACTAATCTGAAGATCTTCTGGTGTCAGTGAAAGTTAAAAAAAAAAATCAACAACATACCTCATCCTCGTCTTCCTCCTCATCATCTGAGTCTGCGTCGTCTGCTTCATCGTCTGGAAAAAAACAGATCCAATTTGAGTTCATCTTCTCTTTGATATGAGAACATTAAACCAACAACAACAAATAAAATACCTACCCTGAACAAATCTAATGAGCAAATTAAAATTTTCAAAATAATGTTTTGAGTATTTTTCCAAAAGATTTGACTTTTTTTTTTCAATTATTAATTTCCCACCTTTGCTCACTTTTTCATGTTTACCTATTATTATTTTTTTATCATTTTGTAATTTTGGCATTTTTTTTTAAATGACTTCTACTTATTTATTTTGCTGAGTAACTAATTTAATATCATTGACCTTAAGAACTTCAGAATAACTGAAGCGTCTAAAATCAGAAAGTAATAAATATCACACTTGCTAATGGATTATCAAGATGAATTATCAATAATATCTAATTTGCTATTTTGCTGACTTACTGGAGTTCAGTTGTTTAATAATGAACTCAAACTGTCTGTTCATTTAGCTGACTTACTGGAGTTCAGTTGTTTAATAATGAACTCAAACTGTCT